ACAGATATTTAACCTGTGAAATTTCCATGGATAAAACGTGGTAAAAGATGGGCACGTCGTCCTGGTTCCTGGCCTGTGCATACAAGCGGTTAGTACCTTGTGCTAAATCCCATGAAGAATTCCATTTAGGTATTTCTCCCTTATGGTGCTTTAACTGTAACTTTCCTCATTGTTCTGTTCTTTCTCCATAGTCCCATGTCTTTCTGTTCCCTCAGGTCTTGAGATCAAGAACAAAACTAAAAAAGAGAATCAGAAATGGGACGATTCAGGGCAAGCAAAAGTGAAGAAAGCCGTATGGAGAAAGTGTAGTGAAATTTTTTGGCACCCTGAGCCCAAGAGAGGCCAGAAGGGTGAGCCTGAGCCAAAAGGGCAATGAAGACGTTCTCCGGGGGAGCGTGCGGGGAGACCCCCGTCCCAGGACAGGAGGAGTCAGCAGACACTCCGTGCCGGGGAGAAGGCCTGTGCGCATGTCCCGAGTGGGGGAGACTGCTCTCAGGGCTCTCTCTGTCGCCACCAGCCAGTCCCCGAACTGGAAAAAACGTCTAAGTGCCAGCAGTGTGGGAAAAGCTTTAGTTGAGGTTCTTACCTCATTTAGCATCAGAGAATCCGTACAGGAGAGAAGCCTCACAAGTGCAGTGAATGTGGGAAAGGCTTCAGTGAGCACTGCAACCTCATTGCCCACCTAAGGACGCACACGGGGGAGAGACCCTACCGCTGTGGGGAATGTGGGAAAAGCTTCAACCAGAGCTCCAGCCTCATCATCCACCAGAGGACCCACACCGGTGAGAAGCCTTATCAATGTGCTGTCTGTGGGAAGAGATTCAACAGCTCCCAGTTCGGTGCTCACCAGTGAGCTCACATCCGGCAGAGCCCCCCGCCGCCCCACGCACACTGTGGGAAAGCTTCAACAACGGCGTCCACGGCCATGCCCACCAGAAGATACACACTGGGGAGAAGCTGTACAAGTGCCCTTGGAGTGAGAAGAGCTTCCCCAAGAATCCCGTCCTCATCCACCATCAGGGGGCACACAGAGAAGACACACTCACACCCAAAAAGGGACACATGCTGCGAGGGTGTAGGAAAGCCAACAGATCAATTCCCTAGTTTGAGTCTCTCCTGGAGCTTCCATCAGCTTGTCGAGGCTTCTGCCAGCCAGTCTGTGGCTCAGCAGGAGACCTACAAGTGGATCTCAAGAACCACAGCGGAACTAGGACTCACCATTAGAATGCTGAGCTCTCTTTCTAGGTCTGCCTGTGACCCCCAGTCCTGTGTCACCGTGGACTTCCATCTGCTTTGAACACAGGATCCAAAGTCCTGCCAGGAAACTAGGGTAACCTTGTTCTGAAGAGAGAATGGGTGGTTAGTTGCCTAGGAACTGTTCCTGGGGCAGGTCAGAGAAGAAATTTTCCCTGCTCATGGGAAGCACATCTGGAAGTGAATGGCCTCGATGTATCCTAAACCAATAATGACCTCTAGGCACCTGCTCTCTGGTACATCTACCTCAGAGTAGGTCACTGCTCTATACTCTAGTCACCCAGAAAAGACAGCAAAGCAGGAGGGACAGCTTAAGCCACAGGGTACCACTACTCTAAGTGACTTAATCTCAGAGCAAGTGTGACATCTGGGTTCCTCTTTCTAAGATTTCTCCTCTAGATCACCCCCACCCAGGTTCCTGGTTTCTTGTGTGTTACATTTAACGGTTTCAACAGGTTTATAAGCATTACTATCTCTAATGAAAATAAAGGTGTTTCTCCCTCCACTCTCTTGGTCCTTGGTGCTAATTTTCTCCATTAGAAACTTTATCCTCATGCGGAGGCCCACAGGGTCCCAAAAGGATCCAAGGGTAGAGCCTGTGGCAGTGGAGAACATACAGAGGAGCAGGAGAATTGGGTTGGGGAGGGTTGCACACTCACTGGGAGGGGACATCACAGGTGTAAGGAAAACCCAGGGGTGCAGGAGAAAGGAATGCGGTGTCAAGAGCACTAAAAACCAATCTAAATCATATTAATTCTAAACAGATATTTAACCTGTGAAATTTCCATGGATAAAACGTGGTAAAAGATGGGCACGTCGTCCTGGTTCCTGGCCTGTGCATACAAGCGGTTAGTAACTTGTCTAATTATGGTGAAAGCAAGTGTCATGGTCTCTGCTTCAGTCTTTTTGAAGAATTAATCAAGAACAAAGAAGGATGTTCTACTTCAAAACCAAAAAATAAAACAAATTTAAAAAGTTTTAATTTGGGGGAAGAAAGGTAACGAACGCAAGTCCTAAGAATCTATGTCAGTGTTTCCTCCAGTTGAGCCTTACCCGGGCTCATTTCCCTGCACACAGTCCCTGAGCATGACCCTCATGACAGGCTAGGCAGGTCAGTTCCCAGAGACCCAGGCTTAACTCTGCTCTACACAGAGGGAAAAAATAACATCTTTCCAGAGCCCACGTGAAGGCAAACAGGGGTTTCACTGTGCCGTGACTGGGACAGCTGACTTCACTGGACATCGTGGTGGGGAACAGAGACACAGCCCAGGGTGGATCAGTTAGGGAAGGGCTTTGGATACCCACTCAAAGAGCCAGATTTGCTTAATGAGGGAACCAGTGGAAGTCAATGGAAACAAGGAATGGAGGTGCCCAGGGAGGCCTCTGTAGCAGGCTCCTCCCACTCCTGGGGTGCCGCGGCCAGGGAGTTGGGGGCAACTGCTGACTGCTTGCCTTGTTGGAAGTGGGGGCTGCCTCCACCCTCCAAACTGCTTCATGTTCCAGTCTGCTGGGCAGAGAACAGAAGTCAGCACAACCCTCGCCTGTCAGCTGCCCCGGACAGTCTGGAGGAGACAGGTAGGAATTGGGAGAACACATTCATTTATTCATTCCTTCAGGAAATATCTGGTATTTCCTGGTTTTCTGATATACTAGGTTCTTTAGCAGCCAGATACAACGCTGTCAATGAAGTAGACACTCTGTCTTCCAGAATCACCTCACCAGACCTTCGGAAGTACCAGCACCAGTTGGGCAGCACCACCCAGCTCCACCACCCCCAAGTTGTGACCCAGATGTGCAGGGCCTCTCTTCCAAGTCTTGATTAATCCAACCGTTTTTCTGTGTTCCCCCAACCCCATGTGGAGTAGCTGTCCCCTGCACTTACTATGTTAGATACCTTACTGCCTACCTCCCATTGACTCACACAACCTGATCATTGCACTAACCACTGGAGAATGAATTTGAAGTAGGTGCATAAAAGGTAACAGCACCAAGCCTATAGATCTCCTCTCAGGTATAGAACACCCTCCTGGTTTGGTTCAGCCCTTCACATGTCTACTGAGAAGCCAGTTTCCCCTCCTGTATACGAAATACTGGGACTCTCCATATGGTTTCTATACTTCCTCCCTCACTGAAACATTTTAACTAATTGATATAATTTCTCAGTGGACACTTCCTTGCCGAAAATTACTAACCTTTCCTATAGGCAAGATCCATATTCTCACAACCCAAAGAAGAAGGCCAAAGCCACAGATCACCCTCCCTTCGCAGATACCTGTTGTGGTTCTTCAGTCTAAGGTGGCAGATGGGTACCTGTAGCCAAAACAGGAGCTGGATCCCTCCAGCCTCATGACCCCACTTTTCATTCCCCTGGGCACCTCTTCTCAGCCTCTCCTGTGAAGGGACTACCCTACCAGGCAGTGCAGGAACAGCCTGGGGAATCCTGGGACCCTGGGCTGGAGTGTGCCCATTTCACTGCTGACCTCATCACACGCAAATCTCTGCTTTCCCTATTTTAGCTCCAGCCTTATAGTCCTGGTACTCATCCTTGGCTGGCTTCCTGGCAGACAGTGAGGACTGAGCAATCATTATTCGTGGAGAACACAGGACCCTAGCAAGTAACCTAAGTCCCTGTGGTAGGGGTCATGCCTCCAAGAGTGAACTTTGTGCAGCCCTGCTCTGGCAGATGGAGGAAGTGACTCAGACATGCTTTGTGGGCTTGGTCATTCTTTTGGCACCTCTGGAGTTTTTGCAGAAGTTTAGATTTACTGAGTATTGCAAGTAAAGTCTGGGTTTCCTGGGAGTCCCAATGCACACTGCTACAAAAGAAGAGGAACCTGGTCTGTTTCAGATGTCTCTGACATCTGTCTTCCCTCCATTTCCACTACTAACGTTCTAAATAGGATTGCTGAACCTCAGCACTACTGACATCTTGGTCCAGACAGGTATTTATTGTGGACAGGTGGGTTGGGGGGAGGGGCAATGTTCCATGCATTATAGGAGACATGTAGCTGCATCCTTGGCCTCCACCAACTAGATGTCATGAGCAACCCTAAGGTGTGACCACAAAATTGGCTTCATTGTTACCAAAACCTTTTGGTGGCAAAATCGTCCTTGGTTAGAAACCCTTGTCTAGGGGCGCCTGGGTGGCTCAGTTGGTTAAGCGACTGCCTTCGGCTCAGGTCATGATCCTGGAGTCCCAGGATCGAGTCCCGCATCAGGCTCCCTGCTCAGCAGGGAGTCTGCTTCTCCCTCTGACCCTCCCCCCTCTCATGTGCTCCCTCTCTCATTCTCTCTCTCAAATAAATAAATAAAATCTTAAAAAAAAAAAAAAAAGAAACCCTTGTCTAGGGACAAGTCATTAGACCAGGCTGGTATAAAAGTCTTCATCTCTCCCCCTAGTCTTCCTATAGAGCAGATCTGGACTTCCTGACTTTCCATGTAACTAATCCAAATGCATAACTAGTCACTTCCACAGCCCTGGAGACTTCCTGTTGCCTCTGAAATAAGCCAAGATCTCCAAGTTTGCAAGGCTGTCCTCGACATTCAAGGCCCCTCCAGCCTCACTGCCCACTACCCTATGCACATTCTCCAACCAGCTCAGGTGAACCAATCCCAGGTCCTGGAATAAACAGGCTCTGGCCTTTCCAGCCTTAGTGCTTTGACCAACTAAATTTTTCTGCCTAGAGTTAATAGTCCTTTTTTTTCAGGGTCCTATTCATCCTTTCCATAGAAAGTGAACACAAGGGGCTGCAGGTCTCTGTCTCTCCAACCAGGGGAGGAAGGGCACCTGAGCCTAGAAATGTAGAAAGAAGGAAACTTTTATGTCCTCAAGGAGAGCACCATCGAAAGGCAAGTACCCCACAGGATGAGTACTGGCACCACCACCACCACCTTCTTGAAGTTTCTGAATGCTTTGAACTCCTCGGCCCTGTCTAACTCTCTCTCAAAGCCCTTATCCAACTCCACCTAATACCAGGATGCTTCTGGTGGGTTGTGATCACCTGTTTGGGAGCTCTCCGAGGGCAAGGGGAGTGTCTGAGTGCTCTTCTGAGGCAACAGCCCTCAGTGAACGAGTGCTTCATCGGCGTAAATCTCAAGGGCAGGAGGCTCGGAACCTTTCAAAGGTCTCTCCAGGGGGAAATGCACGGACGGGTGCCCCGAAGGGAGATGGACTGGTGCGCCGGCCACCTCCTCCCCACGCCCCCCTAGAGGGGAGAGGTCCCGGCAGACGGCCACTCGGTGTCTTCGCGTCCCGGGAGGGAAGACCACAGCTGCAGGATAAAGGGAGGAGCTGCAGCACTCAGAGTCCTCCCAACAGGAAAAGTCCGCTTCACAAACGTCACTCACCAGCCACACCATCTTTTCCAACCCGCTGGGCCAGAAGCCGCCCCGGGGCATGCCGGGACGTTCAGACGGCCTGACGCATGCGCAACGGATCAGCCCGAAATGAGCGGGGCGGAGCACGCAGGCGCGTCCTGAAGGACGTTTCTGTTTCTCTGGTTTCCGCCTTCCGCTAATCGACACCCCTCCTCACCAATGAGTCGACAGGATCTTCTTGGCGTCATGCCCTGGGGCCAATCAACCTATTTATGAAAACGGGATCCGTGCTATGGGCGTTTGTTAACTCTCTCCTATTGGTTACTGCCCTTCCGTTGGCCAGGCGCTTCCGCTTCTTGAGTTCGATGGGTTTTCCTTACAACAGAGGTGTTGCTTAGAGGGTTTTACAGATATGGCAGTAGCCGTAGTCAAAGACCGTCACGCTGTTGGTGTGCTAGGCACAATTGTAAACACGTCCACACTACGTAATCCTGACAACAATCCTATGAAGTTAGTAGTATGATCTTTTTTAT